TATATTTTTCATAACCATAAATACTATAATTATTTGAGTTTTTATAAGCATTATATATATATATATATTGATAAGCATTCATATAATGTGGAAAATTTTCTTCAAAAAGTTAACTATTTGAGAGAAGTTAAAGTTATCCCACACCAACAGGCTGAACAAAACAACAGAGTCAATGTTACTGAATGTCAAAATAGACAAGTTATACTATTTAGTCTCTATCAACTCTAATTAAAACGATCACTTTGGTTCAAGAAAACACCCTCAACTGTTTTTCCTTTCTCATCAATTCCTGGGTAGTGGTCTTAAATATATGAAAGGATGACTAATCCTGAGTAAATAGTAGCTGGATGATCAAATCAGGTTAATGAACAGGCCTAAAGAAGTTGGTTAGGATTGTTTGTCTTTTATTTCGGAAAATAGTAGGTGGTGGTTAGGAGACAATGTTAGGACATGTATTACTTGTATAGCATCACAATTGGCTTCTCTCATCTCTCTCTCCCCTCATTACCATTGGATTAAAGTTTCAATTTGTCAGATTTAACATTCTATAAGACTATTATTATAATTTTACTTAATAAATACATAAATAAATTTAATTCAATGGTGGTGAAGGGAAAAAGGAGGGCAGAGAGGAGAAGCCAAGCCCGTGTAGCATCAATATAATTTTGGCAGCATTGTAAGGGGAAAAAACAAAAATATTTTAATGAAGGGTGGTCAGACAAGTCATATATAGGTCCAATGAGGCTTCTTCACAATATACTTAGTGGAATGCCGCGGATATCTCACTTGTAATGGAGTTTCTCAGCAAAGTTGACATCAATAAAATATTGCTTTTAAAACAATGTTCTTCTGCTAATCAAAAATAAAAAGTTGTTCTGACAAACGATTTTAACAAGAAAACTGCTTGAAGATGGAAGAGATGAGGTAAGAAAATCATACACCGTGCAACAATCTTGGCACAAATTTCAAAGTCTTTTACAATCCCTAATCATGACACCAGAAAACTATCTGCAGCAGCAATGCTATTAAGGCCTCAACATCCTAACGCAACCCCAAACAGTTAGATTTTTTCCTCAAGAGCGAAGGGAAGTTATTGTTTACAATATCTACTCAAAAACTCAACTTTTAAAAGAACATGTACTGCAAGACTAATAGAAACTTAGAATGTGAAGAAGATAGGTTTTCAGCAGGCATTGAAAGCACACCATCTTCTTGGCAATCAATTTCATGGGAGTTGTACTTATGAATGAGCATTGGGCAGTTGGATGTGACAACTTGCTCCTGATGCTAAGAGTAAAAGGGAAAACGAGGTAACCTTGTTAGAAAAGTGGATCAGTCCCAGTTTGCATAATGCCCTTGCGATTTTTTCAATGGGATTTCAAAATGCAAGGAATTTAAAATGCATTAAGCTCATTCATGGATTATATAAATATATATATTATAACTAACAAGTGAACTTTAAGTCATCAAAATTTCTCACATTTTGATAACAATGAGTATAAAGTTGAGGTAACGAAAATAAAGATGTTGAGATGGATGTATAGTTATACAAAAATAGATAAGATTTGGAAGGCAAAAATACCTATTGAAGGAAAAATGGTTGAAAATCATTTGAGGTGATATGGATAAGTACAGAGAAGGACATGGAGGCACTAGAAAGGAGAGTAGATCAGGAAATTTGGAGTCTTCTAAAAATGGCAGAAAAAGATTAAAAAAAAAAACACTAAATACCTATCTAAGAATCTGATCATTGACAGAGCACAATGACGTCCTGCAATCCATGTAATAGATCCAACCTAATTGGATGAGACTTGTTGTTTGCTATTCTCTGTCTTACTAAAACCGTGTGAACAAGCTCAATCAAACAATCTAATGGATCAACATAATGCAAAAGTCATTCTTTTATGTATCAAACATAGTTGTTTTATTTCTTTTTTAAAAAAAGACGACAATAATGTTTGGTGATTCTCATATGGCTCACGTCCCACATAATACAGTGGTTGGATGCAGTTTGCTGAAATGAAAAATTGTATCCACTTAATAAAAAAAAAGGGTAAAAATTGCATCAACATGGAGGTTGCATAATCCTGTTATGATACCATGTTGATATATATTATAATCTTCGAAGTAAAAGGTAAATTATCTCTTTGATATCAACCAAAAGAATAAGAAAAGACAATGTAAGATACATGACTAAAAGACTTGAAATTTAAAAAAATAATAATAATGACCTTATGCGTACCTTCGTGAAGCTGGTACAATTTGTAGTTGATAGACTCATCAAATGCTCACTTTCAGATAATGGTATGTTAATATGACCATCTAAAAAGCTGTGTTAGGCATTCTTTTATGATACATAGTATGTTTGAAGTACAATGTGTAATCAGCAAGTAAAAGATCATTGTAACCTGAATGAGAACCTGCTCTACACACTAGAGTTTGGTCTGATCAGGCTCTGGACTTTGGAGTTGCTGCACCACTAAATTTGCTTGTCTCATCTGTTAAATGCAACAGCAATGGGAACCAAGTTAAACTGGGCCAACTTCATCAACCAAAGCTCATGAACCACATCATAATCACTCCTATTAAATAGGTGAGTTAAATTGAGTTTGGTTAAAAAGAATTCATAGTATGTAAGGACAAAATCTCTTCCACAAATACTAAATTCTTCTTAGCCTGAAACTAGAATTAGAATTGCAATTTTTTAATCGGCTTCTAGCAAACTAAAAAAATGGCATATTTTGACACAGCAAGATAATATACGCAATAACTAAACCATATTAATTTTTTTTTATTCAATCCTAAACCGAATTTCTCTAATGCATGACAAGGGACCGATTTTTTCCTACTTAGAATTTTAAGTGTATGACCGGCGAAAAACGAGCTGCTTATTTTTAAAACAAAAATTTTGGTCATTTTATGCAGCTTTGCTATCATTGATATCTACAAAAATGAAAATTTTAAATAAACAAGTCTATTTATAGATAAATCGTTGTTAATATAAAGACATTTTTATGATTTGAAATTCCAACAAAATAAGCATACTGAGAAATTGAGTATATATGAGTTTGGCTGACAAAAATTCATGAGATAATTAATGACTAAAAATATTTCATATCATAACTCAAAAAGGATATACAGAATAAGCAAATGATATCATTTCTTTTTCATCAAATTATAAAATGAATTTTTCCTCTTGGTGCGTGTGTGATTTGACATTCAAATAAACAAGCAAATCTTTCAATCTAAGACAAGTAGCCAAAAGAAAGGAAAATAAATTCTCGATTTGAAACTGAAAGAGGAGTTAATATGTACCTAATGAGTGAATGGATAGAAGGAAAACTGATGCCCACGTGAGTGAGAAGCTCGCTTAAAGATGTCACATCATCTTCAATGCTAACAAAAGGGATTTGAGAAATTAATCTTTGCCCAAAATTTTCCTTTCGGTTTTTGGATCCGCTTTTTGAGCAAGGGACAACCCATAATCCATAGTCTACAAAGGGAACTGGGCAAACCCTCCTTTGGAAAGTATTGGAGCTCAGGACAGCCAAAAAACCCCAAGACTCCCAAAGAGGATAAGTGACAAAGACCTTTGTGTTGCAAAGATCTAAGATTTGGGCGGTTATAGAACACAAGGGAATTAATAGTAGGCGGAAGTAGTCCAATATTGTGCCTGTTTGGCATCACTTATTTTGAGCTTATAAGTAGCTTATAAGCTCCATACGCCCGATTGACATAATAGGTCTGTTTGGTTGGGCTTTTTTGCAATCGGACTTTTGTCTGAAAAGTTACAATAAGCTATAAGCTAAAATTAACAGCTTATGACTTATGGCTTATGGTTTATATCTTTTGAAATATGGAGAGAGAGAGAAAGTTAAGAAATTTATTACCTCTTTTGGTTCTTATTATAAGTCTCAAATAACTAATTTGTAGATAATAAAAAATCAGTTAAAATTAGTTGAAAGTAATGAATAAGTTAGAAATATATTTTTATTTTTAAATATGCTCCTAAAAATATACTTTTATTTTTTCATGTTTCACTTTATATTTAAAATATTTTTTATGACTTCTTCATATTAAATTATTTTAATTTCATTGTATTATGTGAAATTATTTTTTTAATCATGTTTCATTATTTATTAAAACTCATATCTATTTTGGTCATTTTATAACTAAAGTTACTTTTACTCAATCACAATCCAAACAACCTTTTACCAATCTCACTTTTGCAATCTAGCTTTTCTGAACTCTAATCCAAACACAATTCAGCTTATCCAATTTAGCTTTTATCCAATTTCACTTATCTATAAGCTACTTTTTCAATAAGCTACTTTTCCAATCGCTAATCCAAACGGACCCATTATCTGCACCACCAATCCCAAAGTATTCTAGTGAAGTAAGGCTACTCAGATACCATCCCATTCAAGAGGCTATGAGTTTTGAGCATTCCAAGACGTCAAGATATTTGAGATTTGATGGGAAACCTCCCTCTGGAAATGATTCCACTTGTGGGCAGCATTTTATTAACAGGTATGAGAGGGAGGGAAAGAGAATGTGCATCTTCTCTGGGAGCAATTTCAAATTCTTCAATTCTTCAATGCAACAAAATTCTAGATTGGGAGCTGAAAACCCTCCTTTAGGAAAATATGCAAATATAGGACACTTTTGTATGTACAAGCTTGTAAGAGAAAAATGATGCCCTTATGAAACAGATATCATTTCAAGATTATTGCAGTCAATCAACTTCAAAGATTGAAGCTTCGGGAATAAACCTAGTGGAAAAGACTTCAAAGAGTCACAGCTTGCTCTTATCTCCATTTCAAAAATGAAGTTATGACAATTTCATAACAGAAATTGTAGGTGAGGACAATTGGTAAACTTCAACTCTTCAAGACTTCAATTGGCAATTAATGATATTCTCAATTTTGTTCACTTGCTAATAATTTTTCGAAGCGTCCAGAAATGTCAAGGAACTTTAGAGTTGATGGAAGACATTCCAACTACTCATTTCTACAATCTCTTAGAACCAATTTGTCAAGAGATGGAGCAAATGGAATTGATGACAATAGCTTCTCACAATTGGAAATTACTAGAATCCTTAAGGAAGGAAGCTGTTGAGGAAGTCCCCCTTTCAATTTCAGACAATTTTTTATGCTCAACTCTTGAAGATGAGGGAAAGTAAGAGACAAAATTTCACATTTCCATTCTTCCCAACCCTTCATATCTCCAAACCTCAAGATTTCTAGGGATGAAGCATTAGAGCTATTTCCACAAAATTCTGGACCAATAGCTACTATACTATGAAACCCGGTAATTGACAATGACTTGAGAGATGGAAAGAGGCCAAGTGATGGCAAGGCTATACAGTATTTGCGATTCTTCAATTCTAGGGACACTACATTGGACAATGAATGATCTGCAAGCCAATTTGGAAACCCAATACCACCATAGTTGCCAATTGACAGCTTTTTTAAATTTTTATGGGGTTGGAAGTTCTCCAGCACATCCTTGTCATGTAGTGATTTCTCATCATCTGTGCACCATTCTAATGTTAACTCCTTAAGGTGTATCTTGCTTCTCAAATTGATTGCTAAAGTAGTCGAGGGAGAAGCATTCTGCAATTCCAAGATGGAAATAGATCCATGAAGATTAAGTCCTTCTAAATGTTTGATGTTGCTTTCTCTAGATTTGCCTATAATAAATGGTGATAGGACTTGAAGATTTTTCAATTTATCCAATTGCTTTGGCATCTCTCTTACCTAAGTTTCACGAAAATCAAGGTGACAAATATTCATGAGTTTATGAAAATCTATTGGCAACTTTACCAAAAGACAACAACGCCACAACTTTACTGTTTGCAAATGAAGTTGACATATTGAATTAGACAATTTTCTTATTTTAGTTCCTGATGAGTTCAAATAACGTAGATGTTTGAGATTTCCTACTGATTCAGGCAACTGCATGATGAAATGATCGCACAAAGATAAAACTCGCATGTAGACAAACTTGGATGGCAAATTGTGAATAACCTTGCTCGATATAAAGTGAAGGATATAGGTATAGGTCGTACTTCTATGACCCTACATAGATAGAGGAGGCAAGAATGTGCACAATTTATCAGCCTGGTATATAACTTCAAATCGTTTAAATGTATTAGAATTATTTTTGAAAAATGAAACATGGCGTGTCATTTTTGTCAAATTATTTACATCATCTACCTCCAACGTATGGTAGAACTTTACATATTAAACTTTTGCCATATCATTAATAAGGTCATGCATGATAAAACGTGTTTCATCTACTGCCGATGATTGAAACAGTGACCTCAACAATAGGTCATAAAAGAATTGTCCTCCCACTTCTCTCTCGTCTTTGCTTTGATGAGCATAAGTTGGAAAATTTTCCGCCATCCACAAGTGAATTAAATGCTCCTTATCAAAATCATAATCTTTGGGAAATATTGAACAATAAGCAAAGCATCTTTTGAGACTAGCGGGGAGGTAACAATAACTCAATCTCAAAGTAGGGAGACTATTGCTATCGCTTTTATCCTCCCATATCTCACTTTTCAAAATGCCATTCCATTGCTCATGAGATAATTCTGTGTGTAAGAGACTCCCAATGGCTTTCAGAGATAAAGGCAACCCTTTGCATTTTTTACTGATTTTTCTACCAATTTCTTCAAGGTCAGTGTTTGAATAAAGAACATTTCCATCATGGAAGGCATATTTGCTAAATAATGACCAACTATCTCCTTCCGATAAGGGCTTCAATGAAAGTATCTTAGCAGAACGCATGGTTGAAGCAACTTTTCCACTGCGAGTGGTTAGAAGAATTTTGCTTCCTAGAGCCCTATGATTGAATGGTGACTACAAAGCCTCCCATCGCAGATAATCTTCATACCATATGTTGTCCAATACAAGGAGAAATCTCTTTTAGGTTAGTTGTTGTTTCAATTTAATTTGAAGCATATTAAAATCATTGGTATCATCCTTTGATCCAGTGATTGCCTCATAAATTGTTCTGGTTACCCTCAACACATCGAACTCATCAGAGACACATACCCATGCTTTGAGGTTGAATCTATCCATCACCCTACTATCACTGTATGCTAGCTGGGCAAGAGTAGTTTTACACAGACCACCCATACCCACGATAGAAATCACAGATAATTGGTTCTTGTACTTTTCTGACAGCAGCCATTCAATGATGGTTCTTGTACTTCTTAATCCGGCACCACTGTCACGTTCATTTAATCTTAATATATCCCTTTGAGATGCAAGATATTCTAGATTTTCAAGGACATTTTTGGTCCTGGATCAATTTCCTTCTCAAATGAACAAACGGGAGTACTAAAGAAGTTTCGTACCTTGCCAATAACACTAATTTGACTCTCTTGTTCAGCTGCCAGCTTGCGTTTGGACACTTCATAATCTATCTCATCCAAGACATCCTCAGCATTGAACACAGCATCTTTGACCAAATCAATCCACTCCTCCACCTTCGGGTTAGTGATCTACTTTTGCTTTGCATCGTCAACCACAGCATCGATGGATAAAAGCACGATCTTCAACTTATTGAGTAATGTCTGGTTCAATTTTGGTTTTTTGAATTGAAGAAGTCCAGAACTTCCCGAGAAGCCAGCCGATCGAAAGCCACCCGAAGAAAAGCAGAAAGAAAAGCACCACCAACCAAAGCTCCCGCCATAGATGAAGTTGTTCTGCTTGTGGAAATGCAAAACGAAAAGAACGAGATGAAAAATGCAGAAGTGGGAAAGGTTATTGCAATGCAAAGAAGGTGTGACTTTCTGGGTTTGGTGAGTGAAGCAAGAAAATGCGTTCAGCTTTCAGCCATAACCGTCAACCATGCCAGAAAAGGTATGACTTTCAAGTTCCCAGTTCTCTTTTTTAACCGGACTCAAGTTCCCAGTTCTGACTTCTAACGTCAGGTCAGGAAAAAAAAAAAAAAATTAAAAAGTCTAACTATCAAATTCATTCCATTGTTTTATTTCTTTGGCATTATAAAGTGTGTTTAGACTGTGTATTCCTGGTCTTTGACCAAAAGAAAAAAAGGCTGCGTATTACCGGTCAAAAAAAGAGTGTGTATTAGTCATTATTGTGCTGAAGGTCAAAATGACCGTGCATTGTGCTCCACCTCCACTCACGGAGATTCCCCGCCTCTTATATAAACATCTATGCAAAAAAATAAAAATAAAAAATGAAGTTAAAATTTCACAGAAAAACTGCCTCCAATCCTAATTATAAGATATAATTAATTTGTTTTCATTTGGTCGGCCAAAAATATCTGTTTCATTTTATATTAATGAATTGAATATTTGATATTTCTTATATTAAATAAAGGGAAAATTAATTTGAAGGTCCTTATAATTTACTTTCATTTTATATCAGGTCCTTTTATTTTATTTTGTTTTAATTAGATCCTTAAACTTTCTGTGGTTAAATCCGTTACTCCCCAAGGGTTAAATCTGTTAAATAAGCATTAACATTGTTAATAGTTTCCATTAGCCACCCCTGAAAGAACACCTTCTCTCTCCCTCCACCATAACCTCAGGTTCGTGCAACCTCTACTCTCTCCTTGGCTCATTCCCAACACCATCTCTTTCCCCTCCATCCACTCAACTAGTAACTAACTTACCGTTCCTTTCCTGCTCTCCATAACACCTTTCCTTCCCTTGCTCACAAAGTCACCGGAAGCCTTTTCAGCCATCCACGCGGTCACGTTTCCTTCGCCATCCATCTCGACTCCTGTTAGATAATCACGTAACAGAACAACATGAAAGAAGAAAGAAACAGTAGTCTAGAAACTTGGGAGAGCTTGGAGTGAGGAATACACTTAGAGAATGATGAAATGAAGAGGTGCCTTTGAACTCTATATGTGAGACATATAAAGCAGCATGGAATATAATTTTAACTCAATATATATCATCTTTACTTGTAAAATTATATATATTATATATTAATTTATATACAAATACAAGAAAAAGAACGTAAGTGTTAGTAGGAGCATGTGTTATACATAGGATGGTCACACTGAGGAAGAAATTGCAACAATACATGCGGAGGGTATATGAATGAAGAATAAAAAAAAAAAGTGAAGGATGGGCTCCCCTGTTTTAGTATTAAAAAACAGAGACGCTTCTCAAATCATATTAAAATGCCTATTAGTACCGTGTGGAATTTTGTTACAGACTAGTTTTAGCTGCCTCATATTAGTCATTATCATTCTTTATTTTCAGAAGCATCCCAACAACCATTAACGCTTGCGTCATGGTGACACTGTCATCACCATCCACCGCGTCGGCGTTTCTTTCTTTTAAACCAGTCAAGAAGTGGGTCAGAATTCTTTCCCCACAATTTTACTTTGTAGAGTGTTTCATTAAGGTATGAATAGCTTCGTATGAGAAGATCATCTAGTGTAGCTTCTTTTAGCTGTGATCCTGTCTTCTTCTCCAGTGCTTCTCCTCCTGCTTTGGAAACATCCAATATGTTTTTCGTTCCCAGTAATCCAAACAGATACCTTGTTGCTGTATAGGACCCAGAGCTCATCTGCAGGGGCAGATTGGAGGGTATAAACTCTAGCAGCTCTTTCTGTTTAGCCTCTAAAACTACAGATGCGGACGACAGTGATGACCACATCAGCCGCTTTCGACTTGACCTAAAAGCACTTGGAATGTATTTCTTTGCAGCTTTCTATGATTTGGAGTGGCACGACCCAAGGAGAAAGGAGGGCTTGCTTAGATATGGCGTATGGCGGAAGGCGGAGACGTTTCAGTCATTGCTAACGGAAATCATTGACGGCATTAATGTTTATTTGACAGCAGGGACTAACAGAGCTAACATCACAAACTTAAAGGATCTGATAAAAAGTAAAAAAAACACAAGAACCTGATTCAAAATAGAAGAAAACTGTAACGACCAGAAAATTAATTTTCCCTTAAATAAATGCTAAATATGAGGATATTGTGGTTAAGAAATAATGGGATTGTGATTCATTTTTACAGCAAGAGATATTAATATATATTTTTATAAATTTAAAAAAGGATTATAGATAATTAAAATAGAACATATGTATGTTTTCATAAGAATGTAATTCTTATGCAAAATGTTTTGGATGAGTTGAGTTTCGGAGATAAGACATATATCTTTAATAATTAAACTAACTTTTATTGACTATAAGAGTGGAATACATTGCTTTTATATATGAATTTATGTATAGAAACATTATGATTTAATTGAATATATCTTTCCATAAATTATTCATAAATATTTTTTTTTTTAAAAAAAGTTATAAAGTTATTTGATCTCTCTTTGGTTGAAAAATAAATTATAGTATTTTTAACTTGTGTATAAGGAAAAATCCTATAAACAGAAATTTGAAATTACTAAATCCCAAATCAAATTTGGTAAAAACATCTTAAGAGGTTTTAATAACACTAAACTTGCAAATAAAAACATATTTTTGTTATAATTCCTTATTTAAAATTTAGTAATTTCAAGTTTTTTTTTTATTGTATGTTAATCAAATTCATGTCACGTTAAAGGCTATCCGAGTTTCAAACTCATCCAAGGGATGGGGGCTACCAAAATACAGTGTTTCTTTAAATGTCATGTCATTTTATGAAGCACAAAATTACAAGCCTTCAATTAAGCTTCAAACAAATGCAAACCATGTTTCTTCTTCTTATTAGCGCCAAGAGTTTTAGAATAGCTGGTCTTACTCTTAAATACTGCCGTCCAAATAGAAGGCTACACATTTGTCTTGGGGGCAAACTTTGATCTTCCAACACACACACACATCTCAAAACCTTCTATCGATTTGAAGTGTGAAACTAACAGTCCTAACAGGTTTTTGCAGGTTCCAAATCAACCTTATTCATAACACTATCATTTTTCAAGATCCAAGTGTGGTGGCAGCAAAACTTTCCATTCTTCTGTGTCAGTAAGATGAATCATCAGCCATCATCAACGTCAAATAAAAATTTATAGTAAGCTAAGTTGTTCACAAGTTGCGAGCAACAATAATAAGTCTTATTTCATTGAGTGGGGTAGATCACATAGTCACATTACACAACTGAGACTTATTACTTAAATTCCATGTAATGTAGAAGATACTACTTCACTTCCACAAAAGCACCAAAACCACTATAGGGAGTAGATGACAGAAGTAGTTTTGCATGGTTATGAGTAGTTGCAAGTATCAGCTGTAACTTTTGTACAGATGTGGGTTAATAGTATTTATGAGTAGTTGCCCTTTCTTGCACATTGAGGTCTTCTTGTAAAGGGTAGTTAGACTTGTTTTCTATAAAAGCATCAAAATAATTCTGGTAGCTTGCGTTTAATGCAAATGGAGATCCTATTGTCTCCTTCATCATTTCTATAGTCTGCCAGGTTTTAAGATTTAACCCATTATGCATGACAACAAGCACACAAAACAAATGGTCTCCTGTTTTTGTGACAGGCTTAGGCAGAGAAGTCAGGGTATGCTAATATGTACATTGTCAAATATTATTTAATTATAAACTTTGTTTTGTTGGAATTTGAATCCAGCTCAAGGGACTCACCAGACATAGATCCTCTCTTGCAGCTTACTATTCTTCCCAATTATAAACCTGATAACTTATTGATCTTGAAGCTCTTCAGAGGATTCTACTTTTCTGATTTCATGTCCAAGACCTATTGCTATTGGTTTTGCTTCATGTTCCTCTACATTAGCGTAGATTTCGATAAAGAAATCCACTTCCGCATCATCACATGCAGAATTGCCATCATTAACAATCTGCTCAATATCAAGAGCTTTTGCTTTGAAGGGCACCTTTAATATTTGAAGGATTACTCCTTGCTTCATGTTTATGCTCTTCTGGGCCTTAAAAATACTTCTCCTTTCCCACAAGAAGCTCTTCAATGAAAGCAAATAGAGTTGTCAATAAGGCCAGCTTTTTTATTTTTGAGCCCTATAAGGTTAATCATTTTAAGCTTAATTTCTTTTTAAACCTCCTAAAATACAAGCCCGACCTTTTATTTAAAAGAGTTTAAACGAGCTGCCCCAATAGGCTCGGCCCACTCGAATGACCATTAAGAGAGCAAAATGTATATGGACAAATCTGGACTGAAGTTCTGTCCAACACATAAATCAGAGGATTAGGCACGGGGCACTTGGGAGACAGTTCTTCAAAGTTGAAAAACGGCTAGTTCTCAGTGCTAGCAGAGCTACTTTGCAGGATGTTCTTGGTCATTGTGGTCTCAACTAAATTCCCAGTTATGACCGACAGTTGAAATCTACTAGGACTACCATGAGATGGGAAAATGGAATAGAACAGGAAACTCCTATTCAATAGATAATTATGTGATATTATGCTATCACAAGTCCTTGCAGACTTCAAGGATACATCATTAGCATTTAGTGATTAAGTAATTCTTGATATACAAAATCTCTAGCTTTATTGGCCTCATATTGTTATTTTTTCACTGTACAAAAAATAAAATCAGTTAAAGTCCCCATCTCATCCGTTGTGAACAATGCTATTCCATTTTAAACTTTTCAAATTTTAACAATTCCACCATCTTGTTCCACTTCCCACGGCTTAGATTATACCTCTTCGATGGTAAAGATTTTACTGTTAGAATGAAATCCATTAAGGCCTTAAGAAATCTTACTTGAACCAAAGATAACATAACCAGTATTAGGGTCACCAGCCAAGTCATTGTTTGATGCCTTCTTCCGATATTCATGTTCCCAAGGAAGCTAGAGAGTGCTACTAATAAGAAGAGGAATTCATGCCCAAATAAAATGTTTGTCACAGTCATGGTGGAAAACCAGAATCAATAAATGCTAGTATAGACATATACCCACCGGTTGACTTAGGTGAATGAGAATTTAGGCAAATTTTGAATGAAATTTCTCAAAGCTATAAATGAAAAATAAATATATAAGAGGAGGTGCTAAATCGTTTTAAACAGCTAATTACTCTGCTTTGAATAAATCACTTCATTATTAATATTATAGTCTTGCATTCTGCTAGAATTGCAGGTGTGTGTGTGTGTGTGTGTATACAGAGTTGAATGCCGTGAATATCTCGTTTGTAACGGAGTTTCATAGCCAAGTTGAAATCGATAAAATATTATTTTTACAATAAAGTTCTCATGGAAAACAATTTATGCAAGAAAAATGCCTGAAGATAGAGAGGAGATGGAGTATGAAAATGACACAGCATATAAAAATCTGCACACAAATTGCAAGTTTAACGAAGAAGGCAATCAGGTTTTTACTATCCGTAACGATGACAGCAGTAAGCTATCTACAGCAGCGATGCCATTTAAGGCCTTGACACCCTAATGCAATCCCAAACAGCTAGAATTTTACTCAAGGAAGAAGGGAAGTTATTGCTTACAATAGCTACCCAAAAACTCAACTTTTAAAAGAACATATACTGCAAGACCGATAGAAACTTAGAATGTGAAGAAGGTAGGTTTTCAGCAGCACTGAAAGCACATCATCTTCTTGGCCATCAATTTCATGGGAGGTGTATTTCTGAATGAACACCGAGCAGTTGGAGGGCTGTCCCGCTCTATCATGATATATCTTTAAGCAAGGGACGTGCTATCTTGCTCCTGATGCTAAGGGAAAAGGAGGGGCCTTCATTAGAAATTGGACAATATAAGGAGAAGAGTATCTTATGTTCACCGGACGCAATATGAGAGCTTGTCAGAGGAAAGAAAAGTGAATCAGTTTCTGTTTGCACGATGCCCTTGAGATTTTTTCATTGGGATTTCAAAATGCATGGAATTCATGGATTCATGATTTATTTTGTTTTTAACTAACAAGTAAACATAACTTTTTGAAAGATCTGGGAGCAGGGACATGCAAGAAGAATATTATGCTTCAACACTAATAGTATCATGTTTATGTATTGGACTTGTCCCTTTGGCGTCACCCAAAAGAATTATAAAAAAACAGTACAAAATGCATGACTAAAAAGATTTGAAATAAAACGGGAAAAAATACTGGCATTATGTGTATGTTATGTGTTTGTAATTCTGACATAAGTGTAGATAAGGCAGGTGAAATACCTTCAGTTAGTTGACAAACTAGCCACTATTAATTCCTCATTCCCCTGCCTATAAATGCACCCCAATACACAAACATCAAATGAGTGTACTAAAATTGAATAGAATTGCAATTCTCAATCTCTGTCTCGTCCCATTGTTCTCTCTTCTATCTTCTAATTTCCTCATCTCTCCCCTGCTCTTCCTTCATTTCCACAATTTCCCTCTTTCTTATACTCCCAATATTACAGAAGTATGACAGTTACAGTGTACCTTTGTGAAGCTCGTACAATTGGCGGTCGATACAATCATCAAATGCTCACTTTCAGACAATGTTCTGTCAATATGACCATCCAAAAAGCTGTGTTAGACACTCTGTATGAGAGACAGTATGTCTGAAGTATAATTGGTAATCAGCAAGTAAAAGATCAATGTAATCTGAATAAGAATATGCTCTACACACTAGAGTTTAGTCTGATCAGGCTCTGGAGTTTGTAGTTGTTGCAGCATGAAACCTGCTTGTCTCAACTGTCAAATTCAATAGCAACGGAAAGCAAGTTAGTTTGGGCCAATTCCATCAACCAAAGCTCATGAACCACATCATAATCACTCTCTGTATTATATAGTTGAGTCAAATTGAGTTTGGTTAAAACGAATTCACAATACGTAAGGACTAAATCTCTTTTACAAACTCGAAATTGTTCTTAAATTTAACCAAGAATTAGAATTACATTCTTCATCTGCTGTTAGCAAAATTTAAAAAAAAAAAAAAAGGTTCATATTTTGACACATCAAGATAATAATAAGTAAATCATATTAGTTCTTTTTCTTCAATTTTAAATCGAACTTCTCTAATGCATGATATGGGACCTATTGTTTCCTAATTAAAATTTAAAACTGCATGATTTTTTTTGGGGGGGGGGGAGCTGCATGTTTAGAGAAATTATGATAATTTAATGCAGTCTTTGCAGCTTTGGTATCATTGATATCTACAAAAATGAAAATTTCAAATAAACAGGGAAGAATCCCACAAAAAAAAGTTTCAAATTACTAAATTCTAAATTACATTTGGTTCCAATACTTCAATAGGTTCTGACAACTCTAGATTTGCAAATAACAACACATTTTTAAGGAAATTCTTTTTTTGGGATTCAGTAATTTCAAGTTTCTTTTTGTGGGATTTTCCCGATAAACAAGTAAATCTATAAATATATTGGTGCAAAAAGAAAGACACATTTTTATGATTTGAAATTCTAACAAAATATGCATGACTATACGAAAGTTGAGTAAATTTGACTTTGGCCAATGACTAAAAAGATTTCACACCATAATTCAGCAAGATTGTATACAGAAAGTAAATGATATAATTTCTTTTTCATCAAATTTTAAAATGATCTTTTCCTCTTAGTGCATGGTATGAGACCACTTAATGCCATATTTATTAGACTTATGTATGACAAAAAAAAAAAAAGCTACTCGCGTTAAGAAATGTTCATTTTGGGTAGTCTGAGCTATTAATTGTATTTACAAATACGGGAAAAAATATTTTACATTAAATTTTGAAAAAATATATTCTTTGAAATCTATAACAAGAATGATTAATGAATTATGAATAATTTGTCACATTCTTTAGATACCCTTCCTTACATGAACCTGCATCTACATTTTGTGCAACAAATTGCTTGCTACACAACCCCCAACCCTGCCCCCCTTTTCCTGGGGGGAGGTGGGGTACAGAATACCACACTGTTCGCAGGATTGTTCGGCAACACTACGATGTGCAGCACTTGCACAACAGACAAAGAAAGCTTTTAGTTTTTAAGATTTGAAATTCAAATAATCAAGCAAACATTAAATCTAAAGAGACATGGCCAAAAGAAAGAAATATATGTTCATGATTTGAAATTTTAAAGGAGCAAATATATACCTAATGAGTGAAGGGATAGAACGAAAGCTGATGCCTTCACGAGAGAGAAGCTCACTTAAAGATTCGATTACATCCTCTTCAATGCTAACAAAAGGGATGTGAGAAATCTTTGCCCAAAATTTTCCTTTACGCTTTTGGATCTGCTTTTTTAGCAAGGGACAGCCCACAATCTGTAGTTGACAAAGGGAACTAGGCAAGCCCTCCTTTGGAAAGTATTGGAGTTGAGGACAGCCACAAAATCCCAAGATTTCCAAAGAGGATAAGTGGCAAAGACCTTTGTGTTGCAACGATCTAAGATTTGGGCAGCTATGGAAAACAAGGCAAGTTAGAGTACGTGGAAGTAGTCCAATATCAGGAAGGGACTCATCATCTGCATCTCCAACCCCAAAGTATTCTAGCGAAGTAGAGCTACTTAGATGCCATCCCATACGAGAGGCTATGAGTTTTGGGCACCCCAAGACCTCAAGATATATGAGATTTGATGGGAAACCTCCCTCTGGAAATGATTCCACTTGTGGGCAGCATTTTATTAAAAGACATGCGAGGGAGGGAAAGAGAATGTGCATCTTCTCAGGGAGCGATTTCAAATTCTCCAATTCTTCAATGCAACAAAATTCTAGATTGGGAGCCAAAAACCCTCCTTCAGGAAAATATACAAATCTAGGACACTTTCGTATGTACAAGCTTGTAAGAGAAAAATGATACCCTTCTGAAATAGATATCATTTCAAGATTATTACAGTCAACCAACTTCAATGATTGAAGCTTCGGGAATAAGTCTAGTGGAAAAGACTTAAGAGAGTCACAGCTTCCTCTTATCTCCATTTCAAGAATGAAGTTATGACAATAGTATAATGGGAATTCTAGGTGGGGGCAGTCAGAAAACTTCAACTCTTCAAGGCTACAATTAGAAATGATATTCTTAATTTTGTCAACTGCTAATAAGTTTCCAAAGCATCCAGAAATGTCAAGGACTTTTAGAGTTGATGGAAGATATTCCAACTGCTCATTTCCGCAATCTCTTAGGACCAATTTATCAAGAGATGGAGCCCATGGAATTGAAGATAAAAGCTTCTCACAATTGTAAATTACTAGCATCGTTAGAGAAGGAAGTTGTTGAGGAAGTTGCCCTTTCAATTTGGGACAGTTTTTTATACTCAACTCCTGAAGATGAGGGAATGTAAGAGACAAAATTTCACATTTCCATTCTTCCCAGGCCTTCATATCTCCAAACCTCAGGATTTCTAGGGATGAAGCATTAGAGCTATTTCCACAAAATTCTGGACCAATAGCTACTATGCTATGAAACCCTATAATTGACAATGACTTGAGAGATGGAAAGAGGCCAATTGATGGCAAGGATCTACAGTATTTGCAATGCCTTAGTTCTAGGAACAGTAAATTAGACAACGAATGATCAGCAAGCCAATTAGGAAACTCGATACCACCATAGTTCCCAATTGATAGCTTTTTTAAATTTTTATGGGGTTGAAAGTTCTCTAGCACATCCTTGTCATGTAGTGATTTTTCTTTGTCTTTGCACCATTCTAATGTCAACTCCTTCAGGTTTATCTTGCTTCTTAAATTGACTGCATGAGCTGTTGAAGGAGAGAATATATTCTGCAATTCCGAGATGGAAATTGATCCATGAAGATTAAGTCCTCCTAAATGTTTAATGTTGGTCTCTCCAAATTTGTCCATAATAAATGATGATAGCAGTTGAAGATTTTTCAATTTGTCCAATTGCTTTGGCATCTCTCTTACTTGAGTTTCGCGAAAATCAAGGTGACGGAGATTCAAAAGTTTATGGAGATCCATTGGCAACATTTCCAAACGACGACAACGCCACAGCTTTAGTGTTTGCAAATGATGAAGTTGACATATTGAATCAGGCAATTTCCTTATTTTAGTTCCTGATAAGTCCAGATAACGTAGATGTTTGAGATTTCCCACTGACTCAGGCAAATGCATGATGAAGTGATCTGACAAAGATAAAACTCGCATGCAAGTAAACTTGGATGACAAATCATGAATAATCCTATGAGATATAAGGTGAAGATTAGAGTTAGAAGCATAGCTTGTGCTACTACAACCTTGTATAGATAAAGGCAAGAATGTGCGCAATTTATCAGCTAGGTATATAACCTCAAATCGTTTGGATGGATCAACATTATTTCTCAAAAATGAAACATGGCGGGTCATTTTTGTCAAATTATTTACACCATCTACCTCCAACCTATGGCAAAACTTTCCATATTCAACTTTTGCCATATCATTAATAAGGTCATGCATGACAAAACGTGTTTCATCCACTATTGAACGCTGAAAAAGTGACCTCAACAATAGGTCATGAAAAAATTGTTCTGCTACTTCTCTCGCATCTTTGCTTTGATGAGAACATGTAAGAAAATTTTCAGCCATCCACAATTGAATTAAATGCTCCTTATCAAAGTCATAATCTTTAGGAAATATTGAACAATAAGCAAAGCATCTTTTAAGATGAGAGGGGAGGTAGCAATAACTCAATCTCAAAGCAGGGAGAATTGTGCTATCACTTTTTTCCTCCCATATCACACTATTCAAAATGCCATTCCATTGCTCATGAGATAATTCTGTGTATAAGAGACTCCCAATGGCTTTCAGAGCTAAAGGCAACCCTTTGCATTTTTCACTGATTTTTCTACCAATTTCTTCAAGGTCAGGGTTTGCACAAAGAACATTTCCATCATGGAATGCATATTTGCTGAATAATGACCAACTGTCTCCTTCTGATAAGGGCTTCAATGGAAGTATTTTAGTAGAACGCATGGTTGAAGCAACTTTTCTGCTGCGAGTGGTTAGAAGAATTTTGCTTCCTAGAGACCCATGATTAAATGGTGATTGCAAGGCTTCCCACAACATATAATTTTCATTCCATACGTCATCTAAAACAAGGAGAAATCTCTTTTGAGTTAGTTGTTGTTTTAATTTAATTTGAAGCATATTTAAATCATTGGTATCATCCTTAGATCCGGTGATTGCCTCATAAATTGTTCTTGTTACCCTCAACACATCAAACTCATATGAGACACACACCCATACTTTGAGGTTGAAACCATCCATCACCCTACCATCATTATAAACAAGCTGGGCAAGAGTAGTTTTACCCAAACCACCCATACCCACAATAGAAATCACAGATAGTTGGTTGTTATACTTTTCTGACAGAAGCCATTTAATGATGGTTTCTTTGTCATCATCCCTGCCGTATGTTCCATTTTCATCCACTAAAGATGTAGTTGGCAATCTATTTGATATAGCACTTCTCAATCCAGCACCGCTATCACGTTCATTCAATCTTAGTATGTCCCTTTGAGATGCAAGATATTCTAGATTTTCGAGGACTTTTTCCATCCTGAATTCAACATTCTTCTCAAATGAACTAACAGAAGCATTAAAGAAGTTTCGTACCTTGCCAATAGCACTAGTTCGACTCTTTTGTTCAGCTTCCAGCTTGCGCTTGCACATTTCATAATCAATCTCATCCAAGACATCCTCAGCGTCGAACACGGCATCTTTAACCAAATCAATCCAGTCCTTCACCTTCGGATTAGTGATCTGCTTTTGCTCTGCATCGTCAACCACAGCATCGATGGATAACAGTACGATCTTCAACTTATTGAGCAACGTCTGGTTCAATTTTTGTTTTTTGAAGAAGCCCAGAAAATCCCGAGAAGCCAGCCGATCGAAAGCCACCTGAAGAAAAGCAGAAAGAAAAGCACCGCCAACCAAAGCTCCCGCCATAGATGAAGATGTTGAGCTTGTGCAAATGCAAAACGAAAAGAACGAGATGAAAATGCAGAAGTTGGAAAGGCTATTGCAATGCAAGGAGTGCGTGACTTTGTGGGTTTGGTGAGCGTGGCGAGAAAATGCGGTCGGCTTTCAGCCATAACCGTCAAAATGAACACTTTCAAGTTCCCACTTCTAAGTCGTAGAACACCTAACATCTAACTTTAGGTCAAAGGAATTAAAAATCTAACCACAAGAGTCATCCCATTACTTTATTTCCTTGACATTATGAAATATGTTTAGACTGTGCATTAATTATTATTGTTCCCAAGGTCAAAACGACTGCGAATCGTGGAATTGTGGCCCAGAAATAGTGGAACTGTGATTCATTTTTATAGCAAGAGATATTAGTGTGTGAGTCCTTTTTTTTTTTTTTACAAATAAAAAAAGGATTATAAGTAGTTAAAATAGAGAATATGTATTTTTTATAAGAGTGTAATTTTTCACTTAAAAAATTCTAGATAAGTTGAATTCTCAAAACTTACTGGGCAAGGTTAGGGAAGAGGGCTGCAGCTTATCCTTCAAGCTAGATATCGGGCAAGGCCCTGGCTTATTTATGTGTACTCTTAATTGTCTATAAGAATGTTACACATTACTTTTATACATGAATTTATGTATAAAAACATTATGATTCAATTTGATATATCTTTCCATAAATTATTGATAAATATTTATTTAAAAAAAAAGAGTTACATAGTTATATGATCTCTCTTGCTTGAAAAATAAATTATAATATTTTTAAGTTATGTATAATGTCACTTTGAATAAATATTATTTTTCTGATCCTTAATATAAGATCTAATTGGAGAATTGATACTGGTCTTATATGTAAGACTTATTTCATAAGTTTATCAATTTTTACTAAATTAATCTTATTAATGTCCTCCCAATAATAATCAAGTAGGAAAAAGGAAGAGAGAAAATTAAGGGAGATACTTAGGGGTATTTTAGAAAAATATATGATATTAACTAATTTAACTAATATTCTTAATCTACTTAAATTAGTTCATTAGATCTTATATTAAGGATTGGAGAACTATAAAGTGATTAGTTGGTTAATCAGAATCATGACATTGTGCGTTTATACTGTGCACTAATTATTTTTGTGCTCAAGGTCAAAACGAAGACTTTATGGGGGGGGAAATGGCTCAAAATAAAGACTGCGTTTAGATTGCAACGATTTCGGGGGTGTTTGGATGAAGCTAAACATGGTTTGGAGAATAGCTTCTAGAGAATAGATTTTGAGAGAATATATTTTCTGAAAAAGTGATTCTGATAAAGTGAGAGTGTTTGAATAGTTATTGTCAGAAGTGCTTTTTTATATGTTGAAATTACTAAAAAGGACATAAATTTAAATGATAATTACATATAAGATATATTTCATAATATATGTTTACTTGAAGTAATAAATTTGTTGATAATATATATTTTGGCAACATAATAAATAAGACATAAATAATATAAATTAAAAAATTAAAACGTATATATATTAATAAAATAAGTAAATATGTTTTTTGTAAAATAATTTATTTTGCCAACAAAAAATATGATTATTTCTTAAAGATTTTAAAAATGAAGAAATCCCATAATTTCTTTTTCACAAAATTAAAGAACCACACCACGGGCCCACCACCAATGTTCAATTATTTCAAGCAGAAGTAGCTCCTTCGTCGCTTTATCTGAAACCAAGGTTTTGGGGGACAAAACCATGGTTTCCTCCAAAACCATAGTTTGAGATTTTTGAAGGGTGTTTGGCAAATTTTTTTCCAAACCATGGTTTGGAGATCCAAACCATAGTTTGGGGAGATAGCCAAACACCCCTTAATATCGATCAAAATGAAGACTTTTAAGTTCCATTTCTAACATCGCACTTCTGGAAACAAAAGAAAAACGGAACATCTAATTACCAAATTTATTCATTTCATTGTTTAATTTATTTGACATTATGTGTTTAGACTGGGTATTAATTATTATTGTGGTCAAGGCCTAAACCATGCATCGTGCATTTTGATAGACAACTCAACGGAGATTCATAACATCTTATAGGCTAAAATTATATATTTTCAGGCGAACATATAAGTTTGGTTATCTATGTTTGAATCAAGTTTCAGTTTAATTTCTTAAAAAAATTTTAAAAACAAATTTTCAATACCTTAATATTAACATGATTAGTTTTGTTAGAAAAATGTTGACTCAATAAATTTAATCAACAAATTGAAATTATGACTTTGCAATTAAATACCGTCATACTAATCTTTAATTTAAAATGTGTGAGTTGAAAATTTTAAGTTAAAATTTTATTGAAATATATTATTAAATTTTTTTTATTTGGTTGGCAGAAAATATGTTTTATTTTATATTAATGAAATGAATATTTGATATTTCTTATATTAAATAAATGTCAAATATGAAGATATTGTGGTTAAGAAGTAGTGCAATTGTAATTGATTTTCAAAGCAAGGCGAGTCATCGTGGGGGGAAAAACAAGAAAGATTTCAATTAAGGGCAGTTAGACAAGTCATTCAGGTTCAATGAGGCTTGTTCTTATTTGGATATCTTAAATATTACTTTCAAATAAGGAGGTCATTGTGGTCTCAAATAAATCCCTAGAACTATCATGAGATGGGAAAAGGCAACAGAACAGAAAACTCTTAATAATCAAAATCTCTGATGTTTTTTTTTTTTGGGGGCTTATATTGGAATTTTATCACTTTACAGAAAATAAAATAAGTTGAAGTCTTCATCTCACACATTGTCAAAACTGCTATTTCATTTTAACCTTTTCAAAGTTTAACAACTCCCCCTTCTTGTTCCCAAGGAAGCTTGACAATGCTCCTAATAAGGAGGAATTCATACCCAAATACAATACGGTAAAATTCTCTCAGTCATCGCCGCAATTTGTTAGTATAAACACGTACCCATCGATTGACTTGGTTGAATGAGAATTTAGGCAAATTTTGGTTGAAGTTTCTTAAAGCTAAGTCGTTTAAAACAACTAATTACTCTACTTTGAATGAATCACTTGGTCTATTAATGCCATAGTCTTGAAGAATTCTGCTAGAATCGCATGTCTATATACATAGCTGAATGCTGTGAATATCTCATTTCTAACACAGTTCTTCAGCAAAGTTGAAATCAATAAAATATTGTTTTCTAAATGAGGTAAGAAAATCACTCGCCATGTAAAAATTTGGACACAAATTTCAAAGTCATATATTCATCTCTCAAGTACTCCTCCGGTCTTTAATATAGATGTAATTATTGAGTTAATTTTGGTCATAAATATAAGACCTATTTTTCATAATTATTAATTTTTTTTAAATTACTCTTATAGATATTCCCTCAACCATAATCAAGTAGAAGAAGGAGACAGGATATTAAGGAAGATGATTATGGTATTTTAGGAAAAACATGTCATATTTCTTATAATTAATTAACTTACTTAATTTTTTTAATCTAATAAAATTAGTTAAATATGTCGTATATTAAAGACGAGAGGAGTATAAAACAAGAGAATCTCTATCCATGGTAAGTAATCACAGTTTGATGAAGAAGGGAATCAAGATTTGACAATCCATAACCATGACACCAGTAAACTATCTACAACGCAGCGATGCCATTAAATCCTAGTGCAACCCCAAACAACTAGAGTTTTACTCAAAAAAGAAGCGAAGTTATTATCTTACAATATCTACAAAAAAAAACTCAACTTTTAAAAGACTAACAGAATCTCAGAATGTGAAGAAGATAGGTTTTGAGCAGCACTGAAAGCATACCGATTTCTTGGCAATCAATTTCATGGGAGTTGTACTTAGGAATGAACGTTGAGCAGTTAGATGTGCTATCTTGCTCATGATGTTAAGAGTGACAGGGAAAAAGTGGTACCTTCCTTAGCAATTGGACAATATGAGGAGAAGAGTCTCTGATGTTCAGTGGACACGATATAAGAGCCTGTCAAAGAGAAAAACAAATCAGTCTCTGTTTGTAATGCCCTCAGGACTTTTTCAATGGGATTTCACAATGCAAGGAATTTAAAACGCAGTAAGTTCATTTTGTGGATTCTTTATATAGTGTTTTAATAACTAACAAATGAACTTTAAGTTATCAAGATTCCTCACATTTTGCATGCTTGCAATCCATGGTCTTCAAAAATAAATTATTACCATTCTCTATCTTTCCAACACACATACTCAAGAACTAACCAAATTCCCACAAGGATAAGCTTCAGATCTGGATTTTGGAAGAAAAATGTCATGTTGATTTGAACTTGTAAAAATATCGACTTAATGGTATGCTTGAGTCAAGAAGAACGAAGAAGAAAGAAAGATTTG